CCACCCCTGACGTGAACTACACCACGCTTCCCTTTCTCTCCTGCAGGATCCTTTTCTGTTGCTGGTTCCCGTGGATGCTCCGTGCGGAGATGCAGCCGTAGAGTCCCTGCGTCCTTTCCCTCCTCCTCCTCCTCCTCTGCTGTTTCTTCGCTCTCCACGTAATCAAAGACTACTCTTCATCTGTCGCTCACCTCTCCTTCCCCCACTGCCGTTCTAGTGAACCCCAGTGCCTTGCTAAACCATATGGCCACCCCTGGTAGTTTGTGAGAAATGCGAAACCCGTCCCGTTTGTTCCCCACTTCCTGAGCCGTGGCACAACAGGTCTCTTCTAGCACTTCTTTTCCCGTTGGAGGAACTGGCAACTGCCGTGGGAGTCCTTTTTCTTTACCTGAACTGGCACCCCTTCAGTTATGGTTTGGAAACAAGTCTCTGATCTTTCCCGCAGGGTGTACAGAAAAGAGGCCCAACTCTGAAATCTTAACTGCCCCTCCTGGAAAGCCCCACATGCACGTTGCAGCCTCTAGGAAGCAAACCCACTTTGCCTTCGTGCAAAACCAAGGCTGCAGGCTGAGTCTCCCCTGGTTTGCAACTGACTCGGTCCTCTTAAGGTGACCAGGGAACCAGGCACCGTTTTGTCTAAACCTGCTGGCTGGGGAATTCTGGGAGCTGAAGTCCACACCTCCTAAAGTTGCCAAGGTTGAAAAACACTGCCTTAGTCCAGCGTAGACCAAGAATACTACATTGAGGAAGGCTGTGATAAATAATCACTGTGTTTGGTTAACCAGTTAGGATCCTAGCCACAAGCAGGTAGCTTGTGTCGGCCTCATGGGGTAAACCAGATAGGAATCACAACCAGAGGAGCTAATTCTACTCTACTGTAAAGCTACATTGACAGAATCTTGCAAGTCTGAAAGTACATCTCTCCCCCCCATCTCCTTTCCAGTCTGGGAAGCTAGGGAGGGTCCCTTCTGAGCCTCCTTCTCCGCCCATTATGCAGCTGTGGGCTCTGCCTCCTCTTATCTGACCATTCCCTTGGCAGCGTCTCTTGGCCCTGTCTTTCCCACAGACCATTACAGCTTATTTATGATGAAGCTAAGGTTCTCCAGGATCTTGGCTCGTTGTTCCTTGCAAGTGCAGCCCTTACTAATCCTCTGCCCGCTCCCTTATTTTCCTCCTAAGCTCTGCTTATTTTGTCCGTCTCCTACGAAACATTGCCCTGCTCATCACGTACAGAAGCCAAACCCTTTGTGTCTGCCGAGTAGTAACTCCCTGCTGACTTTGGTGGGGCTTATTCTTAATTAAGTGTTCACATGATTGCAGCTTTAAATGGAGGTGCTACTAATGTGCGAGCAGGATGGGGCCACAGCGCCAACACATTTGCCCACGGTTGGCTAATACCGTAAGTAGCCTCTCTGGTTAGCAATTTTCTTTCTAATTGAAACCTCTATCTTTGAATTACAGATGCAAGAAGACACCTTAATTAAAACGTAGTGTGTATTAGCAGCTGTGCTTAGCTTATGTATGTGCAAATTAACATACAGGGAGGGGTAAACCACCCAATAGCATCCTCTAATGGTGTGTCGTGTGTGTATCTCTCTGTGTGTAAGTAACCAGAAGTCAGTTCTCTTTTTTTAAAAAAAAGCAAAAGGCAGGGAAGAGATATTATGACTGAATCGGATCTTACCCTTGCATTTATCAGCTACAGAGTGTTAGATCTTAATCCAGTGTTTTTCAAATTTGGCAATTTGAAGATGTGCAGACTTCAACTCTCTGGGAGTTGAAGTTCACACGTCTCAAAGTCGCCAAGTTTGAAAAACGCTGTCTGAATCCATCTTGGTAATATTTCAACCATACAGCTCATAGCTTCCTCACTTAGTTTAACTCAGTGTTTCTCAACCTTGGGAGCTTGAAGATGGGTGGACTTCAACTCCCAGAGAGTTGAAGTCTGCACATCTTCAAATTGCCAAATTTGAAAAACACTGGATTAAGATCTAACACTCTGTAGCTGATAAATGCAAGGGTAAGATCCGATTCAGTCATAATATCTCTTCCCTGCCT